TTCCGACGGGGCCCCCCGCCAGCCAGAGGGACGAGTCGCCGAGGGTAAAAAGCGGCAAAGCGCTGCCGGGAGCGGGGCTGCCGGAACCCGGTGGTCGTGATGGGGGAAGCCCCAGCAGGGCCGGTCCCGGCACCGGCCCCAGCCCCGGAGGGTTACCGGGAGCCTGGGACAGTCCTTCCTGCCGAGTGCCGCCGGCAGCCGGGTGTTTGTATTGACCTGCAGCCGTAGGTCTTGCGGCTGGGATGGCTGTGAAAGGTGTTCAGCCCAGCCTCACCCCGGCCCGATCTCTACCTTCTCGGGGGAGGACGGAGAGAGCCCCCGGGACAGAAGGAGGGGGTCCCCTGCTCCCCGTACCTTCAGCTCGACACGGAGAAGGGAACACTCCCCGTCATCTGCGCTCGCCGGGGCGGGCAGGTCCCTGTGCCGAGCTGCGGCGGAGAGAGGGATGGAGAGCGACGGTGCTCCCAGCGCACGCCCGCGGGCTTTCTACTCGAAGTGAAGGAAATACACCACCAACGAGCTTTTATTGTTAGCATAATCATTATTATCATTGCCATCATCGTTTCTCTGCACATAAATAAATAAATAAATATTTCCCACGGGGAGGGAGTGGGACGGAACGGTACAACCCCAGTTGTGCGCCCGGCAGCGACGAAGTCAAAACAAAATAATTCTGTAAAGGGAAAAAAAAAATAATAATAATAAAAAAAAATATATAATAACCCAGCCTTCAACCCACCCCGTCCGTCAGCCCGCTTTTGGGCACCGCCAGGTTACCGGAGGGAGCCCGGGACAGCATCCCTCCAGGCGGGATCCTCGCAGCATCCGCGCACTCCGCGCCCGTCTCGCGCGCGGTCTGCGAGGAGCTTCCCGGGCTCGGGGCTGAGCCTGCGGGGACACAAGTGAGGGAGAACTAGAGGGGGGACGTCTGGGGTCCTAGGGAGGAGTTTATTTACAGCAGAGTGCCGGGACACCCGTCCTCATGGGCCGGGGGTCTAGAAAGGCGAGAAAGTCCTTCGTAAATTACACAAATTATACAAAACAGTATAAAATCCTTCGGCTGCATGTCAGCGCCGGGGCAGGCAGGACTCCCTCCCCTGCTTTGGCCACAGTTCGGAGTGGGAGTTCACAGTGCGGAGCCGGGGTGGGTGCGCGGGTGGTTAGGGGGTGACTGCGAGACCTCTGTCGTCCTTCCCCGAGGAGGACGGAGACATGCGCAAGTCCTCGTCGTCCTCCGAGCACTTAGTGGTGGAAAGGGACGAGCATTTGCAGCTGTGGCCGCCCCCCCCGCCCCGGTGGGAGCTACTTTTGCCTTCTTTCTTGTGCTTGACCCGTCGGTTCTGGAACCAGATCTTCACCTGCTTCTCGGAGAGGTTCAGGTAGGTGGCGATCTCGATTCGCCGCAGTCGGGAGAGGTACATGTTGGAGGCGAACTCCCTCTCCAGCTCCAGGAGCTGCGTGCTGGTGAATGCGGTGCGCATCCGCTTGCTACTGGGCAGCTGGCTGGACGTGCTGTCTGGGGATGAAGAGGAGCGCACCGTCAGGACCTGCCGGGCCCGCAAAGCCGGGCACTCGCCAGTCCCCGCTGAGCCCTCCTCGCCGCCCACCCTGCGGGGCCGCAGCCCTTCCTCGTCCCCGGGGGGCCTGCGACCCAGCAAGCCTCTGCCAGGCTGGATCCGAGCCCACGAGGGTACCGCTGCACCCTCTCCCCGTACGCACAGCCTGGCTCGGAGGCTCGGCGGGCAGCAGGGGGCTTCCCCAGAGCATCGTCCGGGGCACGGACGGGGAAAGGCGCCGGGATACCCCCTCCAGCCTCCGTGCGCAGGGCAGGCACCCCC